AAAAATATCAGTGAATTGGTTTACTTAAAAAAGTAAAACACTTCACATTTGTATGTGTGTGTTGCTCTGAAAGTTGATGTTGTTTATGCACTGCACAAATCTAACACAAATATTGTACTCAAGTACAGTAAATTTCCTTGACATTGAAAATAGTGCAGTTTGTTGACTTTAAGCTTCTGCTGACCGGCACTATGCATTGGAGCAATCTATGCAAGGGTATTCAAATTAAGAGCTTGAGTTTGCACCTGGATGTCCTGATTTTCTCTTTAATGTTCTTTGCAAAGTTCGAACCTTCAAATGTTTAAATGATGGATTGCTGTATAGTCAATGTAAGCAAATGTCTACTGCCGCCACATGCTCATCCAGGAAGAGTGTTTTCTGCAAAGTCAATGACTTTATACAATCAGTTGGTTTTCCTTAGACAAAAACCTTTAAACCAGTCTATCTTAATGATTCGATCAAACTGTCTCTCTGAACAGCCTGGAGATGAGAGGTGTTGTGAAGTTACAGCTTTATAAACAAACTGAACTGAATGGAATATCTTTTTTCAGTTTCCATAAGTTTAATATCATTTGAAAGCTTAAATAAACTTCACTGTTTCAGGATTCTTAAATAACTCAGAAAAGGCTTCGGGTACAAAGTTCATAAATTTTGACACATTCTGTCACATGTATGCTACACATTGTTTTCGTTGTTGGTGGAGTAAAATCTTGAATCAAATCAAGACTTTTTTTAATGAAATAGTTACAGCTTTAAGAATGTGGATGTGTAAAGCCGGGCTTACACTGTGCGATTTTTTGCCCTTTTAGGGGCGACTTTTTAGTCGTGTGACAATTTTCCGATCGGCCCCACTTTCAGCCTGAGCGTGCGTCGTATGTCGTGTAGTGTAAAATGAGGCGACATCAGCCTCTTACGACCACCTCCCGATCAGGAATCATGAGGTCGGGAGGAAATCAAACATTTTTGATTTTCTCCCGACCGTCGTAGTCAAATTGCTCAGTAGGCATGCGCAAACAAGGATCCTTCTTTGTCTTCTTCCTCTTAGATGTAAACACAGAAGCATGGCGGGATGCGAGTAAAATTGAGTTGTTTCTGTAAAATTGACAGACCGTAGTAGCCATGTTTGCTCAGCCATGTCTTTGTCCAAATACGTCGTCGCCTTTTCTTTTTAAGGCTTTCAGCACAAAATTGCACAAATTGCCAAGGCAGCGTATTTCACTCTAGTGAGCTTCATATTCCTCTTTTACTCATTTGGCTTCCGGATAGATGAGTCAGAGTAGCTCCATCTCACTGCGCAGCTGAGTCTGACATGGTTTTTAGTCGTACAGTGTGAGCATGTGGATCGCATCAGAGCGCCGCGCTGCACAGTGTGAGAACACCCATAGTTGCGTGCAACAATTGAAAAAATCGCAGAGTGCACGCCCGGCTTAAGCAATAGGATGATCATTGACACTAAAGTCACAGATTGATGATCTCTTTGAGGCTAAAGTAGGTAGGTAGATTTATTTTCCATTGGGTGAAAATCGTCTGCAGCTTTGAAACTATTTGCAGCCTTTCCCTCTCTAACAAATATTCTGTCTGACTAAGTACTTTACTTCTTCTTCTCTTCTTCAGCCAGTGCTCGAGAGAAAAGTACAGAAACAACGATAGACAGTACCACTTTAGAGCGAGACCTGATGGAATGCACAGAAAGTTGTTCAGCAAGCTGGCCCAAATGAACAGAGATAACAGGTTTTTGACAAAGTAATGCCCCATTAACACTACTCCTTTGAAACCGATCCCGGCAGAGTTCGGACTGAGCTTGGATCAGTTAACTGCGCCGAGCTTGGTTCTTACGACCATTTACACATCACACAAGCATGGTTTCTAGCCTTCTATCAGCATTATACTATACTAAACTTTTCAAGGTGGGAATTACACAAACAAAAAATGGCACCACCCATAACATTCAGGAACTTATCTGCCTGTATAGCGTCGTCCGCCCAAATTTCAATGAGAGCCTCAGTCTCTGCAGCATCCAAGGTCTTTTGATGCCATTTATTAATAGGCAGAGAAGAAGTTTGTGTTCTGAACAGCTGAAGAAATCTGTGAATTTTAAAGCTGGACTGTAAATAAGAGATGACGTGGTCTGCTCATGCAGTCTTTGTTATCAGAACCAAGCCACAACTGAACCGTGCCGAGCCGTACTGTTGAACTAGTAATAGATTTAGTGTGGTTCCGTTGTGTTCCATTTTCACTCAACAGTTATCTCGGTTAACATGCTAGGACCGTTCTTGGCACGGTTTCAAAAGGGTAGTGAAAGTGGGGCCTTAGGTACTCTTTTAGGTTTCATTACAGCCTGGTTTCGATCTTGTTACAGTGGGGCAAAAAAGTATTTAGTCAGCCACCAATAGTGCAAGTTCTCCCACTTAAAAAGATGAGAGAGACCGGTAATTTTCATCATAGATATACCTCAACTATGAGAGACAAAATGAGAAAAAAAAATCCAGAAAATCACATTGTCTGATTTTTAAGGAATTTATTTGCAAAATATGGTGGAAAATAAGTATTTGGTCAGTTACAAACAAGCAAGATTTCTGGCTCTCACAGACCTGTAACTTCTTCTGTAAGAGGCTCCTCTGTCCTTCACTCGTTACCTTCATTAATGGCACCTGTTTGAACCCGTTATCAGTATAAAAGACACCTGTCCACAACCTCAAACAGTCACACTCTAAACTCCACCATGGCCAAAACTAGAGAGCTGTCAAAGGACACCCGAAACAAAATTATAGACCTGCACCAGGCTGGGAAGTCTGAATCTGCAATAGGTAAACAGCTTGGTGTGAAGAAATCAACTGTGGGATCAATGATTAGAAAATGGAAAACATACAAGACCACTGATAATCTTCCTCGATCTGGGGCTCCACTGAAGATCTCACCCCGTGGGGTCAAAATGATCACAAGAACGGTGAGTAAAAATCCCAGAACCACACGGGGGACCTAGTGAATGACCTGCAGAGAGCTGGGACCAAAGTAACAAAGGCTACCATCAGTAACACACTACGCCGCCAGGGACTCAAATCCTGCAGTGCCAGACGTGTCCCCCTGCTTAAGCCAGTACAGGTCAAGGCCCGTCTCAAGTTTGCTAGAGAGCATTTGGATGATCCAGACGATGACTGGGAGAATATCATATGGTCAGATGAAACCAAAATAGAACTTTTTGGTAAAAACTCTACTCGTTGTGTGTGGAGGAGAGAGAATGCTGAGTTGCATCCAAAGAACACCATACCTACAGTGAAGCATGGGGGTGGAAACATCATGCTTTGGGGCTGTTTTTCTGCTAAGGGACCAGGACGACTGATCCGTGTGAAGGAAAGAATGAATGGGGCCATGTATCGTCAAATTTTGAGTGAAAACCTCCTTCCATCAGCAAGGGCATTGAAGATGAAACGTGGCTGGGTCTTTCAGCATGACAATGATCCCAAACACACCGCCCGGGTAACGAAGGAGTGGCTTCGTAAGAAGCATTTCAAGGTCCTGGAGTGGCCTAGCCAGTCTCCAGATCTCAACCCCATAGAAAATCTTTGGAGGGAGTTGAAAGTCCGTGTTGCCCAGCGACAGCCCCAGAACATCACTGCTCTAGAGGAGATCTGCATGGAGGAATGGGCCAAAATGCCAGCAACAGTGTGTGAAAACCTTGTGAAGACTTACAGAAAACGTTTGATCTCTATCATTCCCAACAAAGGGTATATAACAAAGAATTGAGATGAACTTTTGTTATTGACCAAATACTTATTTTCCACCATATTTTGCAAATAAATTCTTAAAAAATCAGACAATGTGATTTTCTGGATTTTTTTTTCTCATTTTGTCTCTCATAGTTGAGGTATATCTATGATGAAAATTACCGGCCTCTCTCATCTTTTTAAGTGGGAGAACTTGCACTATTGATGGCTGACTAAATACTTTTTTGCCCCACTGTATATTGGCACTTTGATCTTTTTTCCTGCAATGGGCTGGCAACCTGTCTAGGATCGCCTTTTGCCCATAGACTGCTGGAGATAAGCACCAGCCCCATCACGACCATGACTGATGAAGCAGGAGAAGATGGATCGGTTTATCTTTTATTTTCTACTAAATGAAAGGTGATGTTAGAACTCAGGAGAAGGAAACAATGTCCCTTTATATAGATATCTGAAAGACTGACAAAATCTTCTAAGAGTATTTTGGTAATTTGTGGATGTAAAGTGGGATTTGCGCTGTTGGTCTTTGTTAACCTTTATATAAAATAACTTTCCTTTTTCTTTCTTTTTACTCTAAAAATTCTTCCATTAAAAATCTGTTTTATCAACAACAAATTCAATTGTTGCTTCTTCTGAACTGAATTCTTGCCAATATTTCCATTTAATGGAGGCATTTATTGATCTTTGCTCTTAAGAATGAAAACTCTAAAAAAGTTTAAGAAATCTAAATTATTTTTCCTGTTTCATAAACAGAGCTTTATTGACAAGGAGGGATTGTAACTGATTGGCTTCTGAACATAAGTTAACTTCATATTGCTACAGTCTTATAACCACATATATCCTGTACTAAGGGTAAAAGGATTGATTTTAGTGAACAGGCTCTGTCCACTTCTCTCAAAGGTCACTCTGCAAGCATTTGGCAAAGGAAAGGAAAAGAAACAGGGCAGGATGTTAGAGTTGAAGCATTAAATATTGCTGAGGACCAGCCTGGAGTGCATTCATAGCAAAGTTAGAAGTACTTCACAAATCAATGGCTGCTCTCTGCATCCCCCACACTTATTTTATGCTCTGAAATGACAGAATGTAGAGCAAGCATTCTTGTCTTTCTTAAACATCTGGCGTCAATATCAGAGCTTCACTTGAAAGAAATTACTGATAACATTTTGGCCTCCCCAGTCATCTATTTAAAGCTGCTTCCTGCAATTTGGAGATATAAGGTTTAAGTGAAGGGTAAATATGTCTAAAAGGGGCCAAGAGGGACAAAAAGCAGAAACCTACCAACAGTTGCAACAGTGTCGTCCTTGCCCTGGGTGAAGACCACCAATCGCTGCCTCTTTGAGTTCTCCTTGGGGAGTTCTTGGGTCCTGTGTGCGATCACCGCAATGTCATCCGTCTGTGAAAAAACACCACAGAAATCCAGGAGGGGGTGAGCATGTTAAGTTGAGCGAAAGCATGATGAGCAGCGGTTTCAAAGTAGTCAATCAAAGATCCCAAGTGTTACTGAGAGCGGGTCAGATTTTTTCCAATCCAGACGTACGGATCAAGTGATAATAAAACCAGACGGGCTGGTGTGAAACGGATCAATAAGAGCGCTCGATGATGCTTCCATTGGAGTTGCTAGAGGGCTGGAAAATATTACAATGTCATATTCCCAAAGTGAGATGAAAATGAGAGTGTGAAGATACGCTTTTTGTCAGATAACAGCACTGTCTGCAAGCATTAGGGGATAGGCGGTGCATGTACTGTATCGTTTTCGCCTGAAACAGGCCATCTCTCCTCAGCATCTGTACGGAATGGATATTCTCGCCTGGAGACGACAGAGCTCTCCGGAGTGCTTGCCTTTGATCATGAGAGGGATAAAGAACCCACACCTGTCAGTGCTGCTTTATTATTAACTCATCATGATGTACTATGAACAGGTAGAATGTCTTTATCACCATCTTTCAATGAGTGGACGGTTTTTTTTCTGTACATCGGGGAGTTGGAATTACAGTTGCTCTCAGCATCTCTGTCAAAGCTAGCAACCTTAGGTTGAGCAAATACTGTGATTATAGGAGCAATCAGAGAGATAGACTCTGGCCCACACCAGGCACTCTGCCTCGCTCAAACCAATGAGCTTTTACACCTCTAAATGCTTCCCAAACGTCCTTTAATCAGCCCTAAGAGGTCCAGGGAGACCCAGGGCTGAGGGAAAAATGGGTGTAACACTCTAAGTAAGTGCTAATAGTGAGGTTAATACAGAGGCTGTTAGCAGGCGATGGTGAAAAAAGAGCAATTTGTCACTGTGACTGCATGGAACCACAAGCCCTGAATGCAAAACCACACCGGGCAATGGCACATTGTCGCCCTCAGGTTTTATGTTCTCTGACATAAAATAAAGGTGCCTCTACTTGGGTTCAGGAGCTGAGAGTATCTAACAGCCCTTTGGTGGAGGTGAATACCTCAGGGCAACTATAATAATAAAGTTAACACAGGCACAGTAAACGTACTCCCCTTTACATGTCAGAAGCATTCACCTAACAACTTTCTACAGAGAGATGGAAGAGAACAGCAGGCTAGAAATTGATTGACAAAGGATACGGTCAATTTGATTCACAGCTGACAAATGGCAATATTTACGAACGCAGGGCGACTGATCAGACATAAATCAACAAAGCGTGAAATATGAAAGCTTTACAAGGGTGTTAAATTGCGTCGTGACGTCGAAGCCACAGAGAAACTGATAATCTCCACCGCGGGCTGCTCATAGAAAAAAAATGCTGCAGGGGAGAGATTCAATTAGAGCCGTGATGCAGAGAGTTCTTTTGAGCATTTAAAGGAAACAGATCACAATCAGGAGACTGCATTCAGATCTGCTGATTGCTGTGTCTGGGAGGACAAGCTCTTTATCTTGTATTTATACCGAAGAAGAGTGGCTGTCATTTGTGCTAGTCATCCATAATGTGATGATAACAGTGTTTCAGAATACATTAGGAGCACATCACGCTGTGTCTTGAGGGTTAGATGCTGGCAATATTTAATTAAAGTTTCACTAAAAAGGCCTAATTAGTGAATTAACAAGACTTCTGATGGACCAAGATCAACCTTACTGCCATTATAGGACTTAAAGTGCTCAAAGAAATCTACTTCAGTGTATTAGCTTGTTAAACATGACAATAATACACATTAAGCATTGGCGTAAATGTACTATTTGACAGCTGGTGTAAAAAGGATAAAGATGAGCTGAAGTTAAAAATGGTATGACAGGAAAATAATTGAGGTGTGTTCTGATATAACTTGACACTGTTAAGTGCAACCTAGCTTTTGTCTACTGATGTCTAAGCTATTATTGTGGCTCTATAGAATAATACATGCAGCAACAGATAGGACAATCAGTAGAAAAAAGAAACAATCACTTAGTGACAAAATAATTTGAAAGGAGAGTGAGTGCTAAAACTGGCTAAATCAAAGCTAGTATTCACTCTGGGCCTTAATGTCTGTGCTAATTATTACGGAGTAGGGATTAAACAAATAACTGAATTGTCATTAATTGTCAAACTTTTTTTTTTTTTTTTTTTAGATTAAAAGTTAATTCATGCAATGAATTATTAAAAAAGTCCACTTAAAGGGTATTTCTTTTAGTGTTGTAATGTTACCGCCATTGGGGTGCCACTGTTCATTTATAAAGCAAATAACATTAAAGGATCCAGAGTTAAGGCTCCGACAAGGATTCAGAATGTTCTCTATAAGGTTCTGCTTGTCAATATGAAGCTCATTAAACTCCTTACGCTATCCCCTGAATAGAGCCCAGCCATGCTGCATGGCGAAGCAGCATAATTTCTCTGCTGAAACTTGGAGAGCTAATTTAACATATTTGATGGTCGAACGATTTGCTAATTTTTAAGAAAACACTGCTAACCACCACTCTGCCTCTGGGGTCTCCATTGGTAGTAAAAGGATATTTCACAGGTTTCTATATATATTAACTATGTGAAAAAAAATCTAAAGTACTAAAAAGCCTGCATAAATATATATACTTTATAAAATTTGAAATTTTTTATTTGAACTAACAGATATCATTTTACAACATATTTAAAAATACAAAATAAATGGAGTAGGGAAAAATGGCCTTCATCTACAAGGATAGTAATACTGCTCTGCTTTTAGCTAATCTCACTTCAAGCACTTGTTGATTAAATGTCAGTTATATTCCACCATAGCTTAAAAGATCCTAAACAATAAAGCTGTCATAAGTAAACTTCCAAAAGTAAGATAATTTTGTTATATATTTATTATAGTTATGTTTAAGAACTGTATTTGCAAGTTAAACAATGACATGTTAGATGTCTCACCTATTTGCTTCCTGGTTTGTGCTTAAAAAGGTTTATTGTGGAACAACTGCAGAAAACAAATCTAACTCAAATGTGGCACCACTACTAAACAAACAAGGCTTGTGAAGGACACAATCTTGTGTCCAAATAAAAAGTTACTTTCTTTTAAATAAACATTTCTTCTAGTAAAAAAAACAAACAAAAACATGTTTTTTTATAACAAGTTAAATGTGTTTAATTACAACTTAAATTGGATGGATGGATGTATGGCTGGATGGATGGATGGAACAGTCGGTGGGTGGATGGATGGATCGATCAGTGGGTGGATGGATCAGTCGGTGGGTGGATGGATGGATCGATCAGTGGGTGGATGGATCAGTCGGTGGGTGGATGGATGGATCAGTGGATGGATGGATGGATCAATGGGTGGATGGATGGATGGATGGATCAATGGATGGATGGATGGATCAGTCGGTGGGTGGATGGATGGATGGATCAATGGATGGATGGATGGATGAATGGATGGATGGATGGATCAGTTGGTGGATGGATGGATGGATCAGTGGGTGGGTGGATGGATCAGTGGGTGGGTGGATGAATGGATGGATGGGTGGGTGGGTAGATTGGTGGGTGGATAGATGTGTGGGTGGGAGTTTTGGTGGGTGGAAAAAATGTATCTTAGAAAGAAAATTATAGAATCATACACATACACTGTATTTCTTGCTTATCCAGATCTGTAAAACACTGAAAGTACAGATGACATACTTTTCTATACTTCCCCAGGTTGCTTTGGAACCCATAAGATAAACTTATATTGCACATATATTGGAAACATTGTTTGCAACACTCATCATGGGAAACATTAAAGAAGAGGCCTGTCATAGGAAAGCAAAATTAATTATCAGAATATGACAAGATTATTAATAAAAATAAAACCAACAACTACTTTAAGGAAAACATCTTTTAACTACAATCATTCAGAAGGGCAGTGGGAACAGTACACACCACTGCTGTTATCTGGGGAAAAAAAAAAAAAATCACATTCATCCAATGCAATTTCACAGAGTGTTCTGCCAAATCAAGTTGACACGGGAAATGTCAAAGAACTGTAACTACGCGCCGAGTCTTGACTTTGCCCTTTGTGCCGTTTTTTTTTTTTTTTTAACATCAGGCCCCACCATTATTACCACCTCCTCCCCCTCCTCCTCCTTCTGCCTTCATCCCTTCTCCTCTCTTAAACCTGTCACTGCCATCAGGATTGCATTTCTATTCCAGTCACGTTGATCACACTGTTAGTGATTCTGGATGACAATTATTCACACTGAGCAGAGCCATATTCAAGCTGCTTGTCCCTCTGAACGATGGCACTTAAAATACCTGAAAAACACACACTGTTTTGGGTTTTTTTTTTTCGCGTTTAAATATAAATGAAGGGAATAGGCAAAACACCACAAAAAAAAAAAAAACAACTCAAGAAGAGACTAAGAGAATATTTGTTTTATACTTAGGAGGCAGCCCCAACAAGCACTGCAATCTACATCTCTGTAATCTATAACAAGTGGCTCTAATTTGGGTGTTAATTTGTACCGTTTCTGTGTGGTGTCATGGTATGGCTGTGAGGAGAAGCTATACAGTAACATCCCTAAGAGCGACTCGGATAATGAGGAGGCTTTTTAACCTGGCAACCTGATGAGCTCCGAGCCTGCGGAGAAAGGCTTGAAACCGTGCCCAACTTCTCAGCTTCCCAAGAGGCTTTTCAAAATTCAATAAATAACATCTGTAGGCGATGTTGGGTGCAGACCGAGTGAGTGCGTCATAACAGAGAGAAGGGCTGAACAAAGAAACCATGACGACTGCCTGGTTTCCATAGCAACTGCTGCAAGGCCTGGAGAGTATAATAGCACATCAATCACTGTCCAAAAAGAACTTCATTATCAGCAAAAAATAAACCTTTAGGATCTTTTTTATTGTAAAATTGCCGGTCAACTCACCTCAAAGCCAAGCTCTTTGGCAAATGTGGCCGCCTCCTGAAACAGACATACATACACACAGAGACACACAAATGAGCAGTTTAATACAGAGT